GGGTGACTATGGCCAATTTTGGGGGCTTCGGGGCCCAATCTGAGGAGGAGAAGGAGGAGGAGGAGGGGGAGGAGGGGGAGGAGGGGGAGGATGAGAAGGAGGAGGAGGAGGAAGAGGAGGAGGAGGAGGAGGTAGAGGAGGAGGAGAAGGAGGAGGAGGAGGAAGAGGAGGAGGAGGAGCCTGGCCATGAGGTAGAGGAGGAGGAGGAGCCTGGCCATATATCCGAGCCAACCCTCCTCGCTCGGCCGCTCCGGCGCGAGCGCGCAGGGCTTGCTTGGAGTCCCGAAACGGTGCGGTGACGGACCGCACGGTGACCTCGAGATCCCCCCAGACCTCACCGCACGGTCCGTCGCCGCACGGTTTTGGGACCCCGGAGGCCCCCGTCGCCCGAGACGGCCTCGGAGGCAGGAGGAACAGGTGGAGGATGAGGAGAGAGGAGGAGAGAGGAGGGAGGAGAGAGGAGAGAGGAGAGAAGAGAGAGGAGAGGGCGGAGGAGGAGGAGGAGGAGGAGGAGGAGGAGGAGGCGGAGGAAGAGGAGGAGGGAGGAGGAGAGGAGGAGGAGGAGGAGGAGGAGGAGGAGGAGGAGGAGGAGGAGGATCGAGAACGACCCGAGTCCCAAAACCGTGCGGTGACCCCGAAGCCCCACCGACTCACCGCACGGTGTGGCCACCACCCCGCCTGGGGGCCCTCGCAGCTTGCCCTGCGCCCCTCCCCCCCTCCGCGGGGCGGCTCGGGGGGCCTGCTCCGCCCGGCCCTCCACGGCCCGGCCGCCCTCCTCCCGGGCAGGGAGCTCGTCGGGCGGGCGCGGGGGGCGCGCGCAGGGGCGGCGTGCCTCGAAGGAGCCGGCGCCCTCGGCGAGAACAGGGGCTCCCGACTGCGCGCTTCGCGCTGCGCGAAGCGCGATGTGCGCAGAACTTCGCGCCCTCGCGCCGCCTCCCAGAGGAGGAGAGGAGGAGGAGGGATCGGAGCCGAACCGCGAAGCGCGAATAACTTCGCGCGCTCGAAGGCGCCCTTGGAGAAGACCAGCTCACCCGGTGGGGTCTTCCGTGCTGCGGGTGACCCCTCCTCTCGGCTGGCAACTAAACTCCCCTCCTCGTGTTCCCCCTCCTCCTCATCCTCATCCTCATCCTGATCATCTTCATCCTCATCAACCTGATCATGCTCATCCTCATCTACATCCTCATCATCATCCTCATGTTCATCTCTATCCTCATCCTCATCCCCATCCTCAACTTCATCCTCATCCCCATCCTCATCCTCATCATCCTGCTCCTCATAATCATCACCGTCATCATCACCACCAGCATTATCAACATCAGCATCAGCAGCAGCAGCATCATCATCAGCATCATCATCATAATCAGGTCGATGATGTTTGTTCACCGGTGCCAGAGCTTAGAAAGGATTACCTGACCAACTGAACGCACTGAGCTGCCACGAGCCTGGACAGCCTGCTGCAACGAGAGTGAGCACAGTGCGACTGCCCTTTGAAAAAGGTGAAGAGGAGGCGGAGGGGAGGAGGGGGAAGCAGCGTGACTTGAGCCGTAATTGTTACGGGCAAGTGGCACCTCACAAAACCTCGAGACCCAAATCTACAAGTAGTGCAAGGTCGATGATGTTTTTTCACCGGTGCCAGAGCTTAGAAAGGATTACCTGACCAACTGAACGCACTGAGCTGCCACGAGCCTGGACAGCCTGCTGCAACGAGAGTGAGCACAGTGCGACTGCCCTATCCCACCTTATGTGCTCTGGCAATTGTCTTGGCAAGCAGTGAGCAAAGGGCGGGAGGGTAGGGTTCTGCGCGCTTTGTCCAAAAGACTCCTGTGGGGTCTTTGCCCTCCAACGCCCAGTGTGGCGACTTAGTTCTAGAACAAAGCGACGTAGTACATTTTCTTGTCAGCGAGCTGAGGCCAGGGACAGCGCCAACAAATTTTGTGGCTTTTCGCCAGCGTTCTCCGAACATACAGAAGTCAAGTCGAGCGATGGAAAAGTGCAATTCTGTAAGCAACTGTATGATTTCGGGAATCACCCACAAAATTGACGTGAGAGGATTCTCGATCGTAACTGTGATACCTTTTTTCGCAGCTAGCCGACAGGCTTTGATTACAAACGCAATGAGCTTATTTGCGGCAACTGCTTTGCTGAGGCCCGTGCCCTCCAGGTCCGGGTAGCCCCAAGGAAAATCGTTTGACCTGAGAGGAGGAGGTCCAGAGCCTCCGGGACGCCGTGCACGCGAGAGGGTCTGACAGGGCAGCGCAAAGTGAAGATGGCAATACCTACGCAGGCGGATGCCCCTTATAAGTCTGTTCTGGGCGCCTGAGAGTGTGAGGTCACACGACGGTCCGTCCAGTATGTCCCAACCTTCACGCGGAATTCCCCGACGAGCGAGCGCCTTGGCTAGCCTCCCGGAACCTGCGAAGACCCCCGCCGCTTTCCGACTAGGCGACGGCCTATCGTCCGAGGAGGTCGGTTGAGATGCATAGAACGTCCATGGAGCCACTCGTCGAGGCACTGCACGGCGAGACGGCTGTAGGTCAGGGTGTCCGACGGCGTGCGGTTGATCGCCTGCTGCACCTTCCCAAACTTTTCGTAGCGTCTGACGGAGTTGAACGTCTTCCAGCCCCCGCGCTTCTGGATCTCGGAGAGGTCGCGCCTCTTCAGCATGGCATCCCTCGAGGCACCTCCGTGCCTCACCTGGTAAGTGCAGAGCTGCTCGGCGGCAAGCCCGACGAGGTCGGCGGCGTCCTCGAACGCGTCCTTGCACTGGCTGATCGACAGGCGGAACAGCTTCTCGCTCGGGTCCCGCCCCCTCGCCAATTGCACCAGGTGGGTCGAGATATGCGCGTCCAGGTCCTCGACCGAGACAGTGTCGTCGAAGCTCCCCGTCTTGCGCGGCTGCCCCCTCTCCTCCGGCCGCATGACAAGGCAGAGGCGGTGGTAGCCCCGGAGGCGGGGCGCAGGCAGCACTACATCCCCAACCTGCAGGTCCGTAATCTCCCCAGGTCGGGAATACGCATCGTGGGCCGCCAGCAAGCAGAGGGCCGCATCCCGCCGCTTCGTGGCCAGCAAGGCCCCCGCAATGGCGGCCGTCCATTCCCAAGGCAACCCAAAGCGAGAGGCGCCGGGGGCGGCCTTGCGGAAGCCCCTCAGCGCCCTCCTCATCCGCGTCAGCGGCAGGGCAAGAGGGCGAGGGCCTCCGCTCCTCATGAACTTGAGGGCCCCGAGGAGCTTGTCCCCCGATGACGCCTCGTAGCCCTGCAGGTAGATGGCGTCCAGGTAGTCGACCGCCGCCGCGTCCACGTCCTCGTCCGAGTGCAGTGGGATGCCCTCGTTCGCGGCCCACTTGGCGAACTCGGCGTAGGTCGCCCTGTACGTGGCCGCTTGCTGGGGCTGCACCGACACCTGCTCCAGGATACTGAGCTGGTGGGGGTCCCTCTTGAGCAGGAGCGGCCCGGGAGTAACACCCCCCGCTGGGACAGCGTGCCTCGCCCTTCGAGCCTTGGCACGGTCCTCCCGCAGACGGCGACTCCGCTGCGCCGAAGGGCGGTCCCTCGGCGGCTGAAGCAGGCCTGCCACCGGAGGCGCGGCCGATCTCGATGAGCTCGTCGATACTGTAACGACGGACAACACGCCCTCTGGCGGCGTCGGGGGTCGCCTGCGGTTGGCCGCGGGTCCCGCGGGCCTCAGCACATGAACTGACGTCGCCTTCGTTGGAACTGGCGTCCGAGTCGGTGCTCGGAGCATCGATCGTGGGAAACTCCCCACTGTGAGCCAAGTGGTTACAGGTAGAAGAAGATGAAGGGAAATATTTACGTCCGCGGTGTGCCCGCTGCGGGGCTGAGGGTTCGAACATCCGAGAAGGCGCATCAGCATGATTAACTTCAGACACGACCCAGCGCCATTTGAACTTGCAATTGAGGGCGACCGTGTAAGCCGCAACACTTCTACAACAACCCAGCATACGATAGTCCCCGCTGCGCCCCTTGGAGAAGGCCAAGATGGAGCCCATGGAGTCCCCGAGGATGAGGTGCTTCTTGTTGCGGTTCCCAACAGACCTCCCAAGAGACTTGCAAACCAATCTTCCAGTACGGGCCTCCAGCAGGGTGATGTGCTCGTCCCGAAACCAGGGCTTTGACAGGATGGTGTGCCAGGAGTCCTTCTCGAGCAACTTTGTGGGGACCTCCGGGAACCCGCGCCTTCTCTTCCAGGGGCGAGGGGGCGGCGGTGCGACAGGGAGTACTGTTTCAACATTTTCGATCACATCTCGGAAGTGCCAGAGAGCTCCCGCACGCACGCCCCTCGCGAGCGCATGGGGCTGCTTGGACCGCCACCGCTCATTGTACTGGCCAGTGCTGGCGATGAGCTTCTCGTCGAAAACGCCCTGGACGATCCCAAGGCCTGTCTCCGACGAGTCGAACATGTGGGCCGTGGGACTCCACGGCCGACGCAGGTTGGTGCGAGCAAAACGGACTAAAGCTGCCAGCCACTCACACTCCCGCGCGGCTGACTGCCACAAGCGGACCTTCTGCTTATAATGCACCCTGACAAAGCGATAGCACGAGCCAAAGATGCTCAGCAGGGAGCGCTCGCCCATGAGCTGGAAAGTGCAGTGCCCCAGGAAGCGCTCAAGCATCACGCCTGTGATCCTCGGACGGCGCGCAAGCCAGCGGCCCGCGGCGGCCAGGCGGGTGGCCCTCTTGGCCGTGGGCCCCACCTCGCCAGTCAAGCCGTCGATGGCGAAGCCGAGGCTCTCGGCCCAGAGGGAGGCGTCCTCCTCCTCGTGCACTGCGAAGCCGTCGGCCGTGAGCTGGCGAGCCACTGCGATGCGAGCGCCGTCGGCAAGCTCCGGGGAGCCCGCCCCAGTGGCATGGTTGTCGCAGTAAGGCAACGACGCGAGGCCGCGGGGGCCAATCGTCGGGCCAGGCTGGCGATCCTGTAGTACCAGTCCGGCGGTGTCCGGAAGCACCCCCTTGACGACGGAGGAGTGGACGATCTGCGCCAGATAGAAGCTCCAGCTGAACCCCATGGGAAGCACTCGAAAGGCGGGCGCAACGGCGTCGCGCCCGTAGAACTGGCTAAAGCGGCTGTCGTTGCCCTCCAGCTCGGAGACGAGCCAACCTGGGACGTCGTCGAGGCAAAAGTAGCTGGAAAGGTCATCGTCGATGCCGCAGGCGTAGAAGTAGTCCTTGATGTCTGACAGGCTCACCCAGAGGTCGGCGTCGTCCTCCAGGAGAATCTCTCCCCAGCTCGACCCGGTACCCATAGGCAAATAAGGGCACCGCCGGAAGCGCCTGTTGGTGGCGCGGCAGTCCACCACGAGCCTCTGCTTGCCCGTCTTCTTGGCCACACAGAAGACCGTGACTCGTCCACGTACCAAAGGCGCCCAGCGGATAAGACCTGCCGAATGACAGTCTCGGACAAACTGAAAATAGGTCTTCTTGGAGTAGCGAAGCTTCGGATCCATGTAGAGTTTGATGGGATCCGCCCTTTCACGCACGGCGCCCCACTCTTGATCGTCGAGTAGAATGTTGTTCTGGCCCTCGAGACAACAGCGAACCTTCGGCGGCAGCATCTCTTTGACAGGGACGGGCTCCGCCCCCACGTGGGGGATGCTGAGAAGGTTCCGGTCGTGGGACTGTACCAAGGTCGACTCGCCACCGTGCGCGGAGTCTGTCCCGAGGAGCGCGCGCACGGCCCCCTCGGAGCCGAAGTCACCTTGCGGCGGCTCGGCTGCGTCATGCACTGAACGAATGAATTGAATGGCCTCCCGCTGACACAGCGAGGGCGGGGAAGATGACGGCGTCAGATGGCCATCGAGAGCATCGAGGGCCTCGATCGTGCGATTGACCTCGGCATCCACAGCACTCCGCTTCAAAACTCGTCGCTGCACCGAGCGACTCACGCTGTGATCTTGAAGATGTTCGACCTCGAGCTCAGGAAGAGGAAAGAGGTCACGGGGAACTTGTACAGGTAGGCGGGACCCCTTCTCATACTTGAACCCAGCCGCCGGAGTCCCAGAGGGAGCGACTGGGTCCTGCAAGCTGGTCATGGCCCCCCTGCGCCGGAGCCGCCGGCGCCCCCGTCACCCTCCCCGCCGCCCTTACCACCACGGCCACGGCCTTTCGGCTTCCGGAGGCGGATCTCCTCCTCGAGCTTGCGACCCTCCTTCAGGACTGCTGCCCGATCTCGAGCTGCGTCGGCGGCCCGCTTCTTGATAGACGGCGCCACCAGAGCGGCGCCACGCTGAACGCCCCAGCCCATGAAGTCGTCCGAATTGCTGTAGTCGGGGTTGCTGGGGTTGTACACGTGGGCCTGCTCGATGAGCTGCAGGCGTCGCCCGAGCAGCTCGAAAGAGGTCAAAGTCATCGTGTTCAACTGGTCCAACTCGATCGCGAGGTCGAAGACCTTGGAGATCACGAAGTGCTCGTGGATGCTGCGGTCGCCGCTCGGGATGCCGCTAGCCGATAGCCAGGTGTGGTGGCGCGTCACCATCCCCTCGGAGGACTGGGCCACCTCGGTGAGCAGCCACGGGAGGCTCACGTCACCTTGCAGCGGCGAGTCGCCAAAGTCGTGGAACTCCTGGAGCGAGATGGCCTCGCGGAAGTTGCGGCCGCGCTGTTGAGCCGACCTCCACTTCACAGGGATGACTCTCGCGTCGGTCTCCTGATCCCGGAGCAGCTTGATCATGCCCGTGTCCTGCCGCAACACCTCCTGCAAAATCAGAAACTTGCCTCCTCGCTTGACCAGCCAGTAAGCGCCCAAGCCGACCGTGATGTCGCCTGGGATGTGAATGTATTCCTTCTCCGCCTCTGGGTCGCCGTCGGCCGAAGAGCCAATCACCCAGAGGACACGTCCAGCTGCTGGCGCTGGAGGGGGACCTTCGCGAACGGCACCTGACTCAGGGTCAAGCGCATGCTGTTCAACCCTCGCGTCAGAGATCGCCCTCATCACCAACAGCGGGGTAGGAGGTCCAGCTGAGCGGTCTGCACGGAAGCCGTGGGTGTTGGCCGCCACTGGAGGAGGAAGCGGACGTACTTGCAGCTGAAGATGGGGCACCTCCGCGTCGTCGTAGTACGCGATACCCTCCAGCGGCGGCGCCGCCAGCTCCTCCGGATACACGTCCCCGTCCGGGGTGAGCACCCACCAGGCCATGCCCCCATTGTACAGGGACTCGCCCGTGCACTTCTGCATCGCCGTCTCCGAGCCAGGCTCGAGGAGGACCCGCTCGTGCCACTTGGGCGGCGGCGCCGGGAGCGGGTCCGGCTGGTAAAACAAGCTGACCTTCCGCCCTGCCTCGAGAGTGATCGCCGCCATCCAGCCGAGCATCCAATCGATGTTCTCCAGACGCCACCCGCACTCTGCAACGCGCACACCGCGAAACGACCTTCACGAAATACACGCTCGCAACTCCAGTGAACACGCCCAGGCCGAATGCGGCCGACGTGAAGAACTGAGTGGGGTCGACGCCCGTCAAGCAAGAATAGGCAGCCGAGCCGATGGCGCGGCGGCAGCTGGGCTCGCCAGCAATGGAGACTGAGCTGGAGGCGAGCCAGGCGACGCCTGAATGCATCGAGGACGGGCACCTCAAAGCAGCGTGACTTGAGCCGTAATTGTTACGGGCAAGTGGCACCTCACAAAACCTCGAGACCCAAATCTACAAGTAGTGCAATCAGCACCAGCATCATCAGCAGCATCATCACCACCATCATCAGCATCACCATCATCAGCATCATCATCAGCATCCTCCTCCTCATCATCACCATCACCAACACTATTACCATCACCATCACCATCAACAACATCATGATCATCAACGATCGTCATCCCCCGATTATCAACGGTGTCCGCCGCTGGGGGATACTTACTTTCTCAATGTGGTGGTGGTCACAATCCGCCAATGATCCCGCGCAAAAATGGTGTGCCCATTTTTTTGGTTGGGGGGGGTCAAGATCCTTACTTGTGAAGAGACCGAGTTCTGTGTATCCACCTTCACTGAGGATCACCGTTCTTCCTTTCCTGGGGCTCAAGAACGTCGATGTGCAGACTGGAGGGGCAGGTCAGGGCGCGCGAGTGAGCACCTGCGTTGCAATGACCACAACTACCCTAGTCTCCAACTACACGGCGGCCCCAATAGGACGTGGCCATCGACGAAAATGGAGAACTCCCAAATGGAGAAAATCGGGACCCACATCGAGCCGCATCACAGATGCATCGGCGACGCGGCGTGATCCTCCGACCCTATCTACTGGAACCCCATTTGGGAGGCCTCGAAGGCGCGAGGGCTTCTGAGAAGTCCCGCCGCCCTCAGAGAGAACCTTCTCCCTTTCACTTTCCTCCCTCGCCCGCCGCCAAGAGAACGGACATCTGCCATTTTGAAGGAGTCCAAGGACACACAAATGAATACACACACAAATACCAATATTCCAAATATTTTCTCATATATTCTGGGTTTTTGTCTTCATCCCCACTTTCCATATTTTCCAATACTTTCCAGGGAATCGCTTATTACTTGTGTCTGTGTGTTGTTGTCCCCTCCTGACATGTCGCCCCGCCGAGAACTGGGTCTGTTTCTGCGATGGGTGTATCTGATGAAGGGCCCGTGGGACACACAAACAGATGCACACAGATCCCAAGATCCCCCACACGTTCTGAGTTTCCGCCTTCCCCCCCCCCCGCCACCTCACAGATCTTTTCCCATATCTTCATGGTTTCCCCCCACTTCCCAGATGTTCTCCCACATTGTCCTTGTGCCTGTGTTTTTTTCCCAACAGTTTCTCCCATCTTGTCCATATGTTCTCCCATGTCCTCCCAGATTTTCTCCCCATATCTTCCAGGGGATTCGACGATTCCCTGTGCTTGCCTGTGTGTTTCTCCCCTCCCGAAGGCCTCGGCCGAGCGCACCCCGGCCACCCCCGTGCTGCGGAGGCGCCGGGGGCGAGGGGCACGGGGCCGCCGCGCGCCACGGGGAACAGCAGCGACGCACTACCCTTAGGTCGGGCGTGTCCCCCTACTCGGGAGCGGCCAAGAGGGGGGTGTCCAAGAGGGGGGGTGCAAATCATGACCGGCGGCATGTGCGCGGCCCAGCGGGGGGGCCAGGGACGTAATGAAATAAGAAGAGACGCCATGAAATCTGGGGAAATATCATGACCCCCGCCATGATATCCACCCCCCCCTAGTCATCACCCCCCTCTTTTCCGCCCTCGATACATGCGGCTTTTGGACGAAGAATCAAACATAGTCAAACAAGGCTCCCAAATGGTCCCAAATAGTAAAAAAAACATCGGCCCCAGAGCATCTGTGGACTATGTTCGAACTTTCCCCCTGCAGAGGGACAGGCCCCGAGGTGACACTACTGGGGCTCGGCCCCCGGGCACGGCCTCGGATCGCCGGGGGCCCATCAGAACAGGGACCTGGGCCGAAAAGCAAGGGCTCCCAACTTCGCGCTTCGCGCTGCGCGAAGCGCGAAGAGCTTCGCGCTCTCGCGCCGCTTCCCAGGGGATTACAACGCCTGAGAGAACTGATGATGACGTGCCCGAGCGTGGCCCTTTCTTGCACTCGCAGTCGTGTTGCCACCAGGCCCGAGGAGGAACATTTTGTGTGTGTGTGTGTGTGTGTGTGTGTGTGTGTGTGTGCGTGCGTGCGTGCGTGCGTGCGTGCGTGCGTGCGTGCGTGCGTGCGTGCGTGCGTGCGTGTGTGTGTGTGTGTGTGTGTGTGTGTGTGTGTGCGGTGTGTGCGTGTGCGGTGTGTGCGTGTGCGTGTGCGTGTGCGTGTGCGTGTGCGTGTGCGTGCGGGCGTGCGGGCGTGCGGACGTGTGTGTGTGTGTGTGTGCGTGCGTGCGTGCGTGCGTGCGTGCGTGTGTGTGTGTATGTGTGTGAGTGTGCGTGTGTGTGTGTGTGTGAGTGTGTGTGTGTGTGTGTGTGTGTGTGTGTGTGCGTGCGTGCGTGTGTCTGGGCTGGCCGCGCGCGTCTCGTCGCCCGACATTCCCCGCCTTGACGCTGCGCGGGCGGCCGCGGCGCGCCCCCCCCTCCACAAAAAAACATAAAAACAACAAAAACATAGAATCGCCCCGCGAACTCGGCAAGGGATCGAGAACCGCGAGGCATGGAACCGTTTCTGAGGACCTCCACTGCATATGCAGTTAGGCGATGCCAAGGGGACATGCCCGGGGGACGCGTCGCGGAACGTCCCAGAAGACGCGCCAGGGGACGTGCCAGGGGACGTGCCATGGGGACGCACCGCGGGGCGTGCCCAGGGAACGTGCCAGAAGACGTGCCACGTGACGTGCCAAGGAACGTCCAAGGCGACGCGCCAAGGGACGTGCCAAAGAACGCGTCAGGGTTACGCTGCGCCCGCACCACCAGGGCTACGATCCCTCGTCAATTACAGTGTGCCCGCGCCCCCAAGGCCGCGATGCGTCATACATTACTCTGTGTCCGCCCCCACCCAAGGCCAGGATCCCTCGTAAAATACGCTGCGTCCGCGCTCCCAAGGCCACGATCCATCGTAAATTACGCCGCGTCCGCGCTCCCAGGGCCACGATCCCTCGTACATTACGCTGCGTCCACCCTCCCTGGGCCACGACACTTAGTAAACTACGCTACGTCCCCGCGCTCCCAGGGCCGCGCTCCCTCGTGAATTACGCTGTGTCCGCGCTGGCAGGGCCACGTTCGCCAATCAAGTACATTGTGTTTGGGCTCCCACCATCACCTGGGCATCCTGGGGCGCCCAGGCCGCCCAAGTTCTGCAAAACAAGCGTTTCGCATGAGACATCCTCAGATTTTCGGCGCGCAGGGTGCGCCATCCTCTAGCGGGCACGCAACAAGTACATACGTATAGAATATTTATATATACACATATTAATATACATAGAGATATATGAAATCGACAAATGTGTGAGCGTTTTCTTATTCGGCATTTGGACATTGAGCGGAAAGGGGGGGGGAGGGGGGGGGGTCTGGCTCCTGACCTCTGCTTAGTGCGACTGTTTGGAGCAATGCTCCCATGGGCAATCCTACGGGGAGCCGTCCACCTGCTTGAAACAGGCGTTCAAAACAGGCAAGGTCTACTCCATCGGGGAGGAGGGGGGGGAGGGGTGCGGGGCCCGCGCCGATCGGCAAAACTATGAATAAAAAAACAATCACTTTCAAAGCCTCCAAACCTTGTGTTTTATCATGGATTTTGCGCAAAACGCTCCGCACCCCGCTTTTTTACTGGGCAGATGTGTGTTTCATGGAGGATCCGACATTCGGGTACATTTTTCTCGAGCGGGAACGCACGAAACGCATCACAAATAAGTCAGACTGTACCTCGATATCCATCGCAAAGAATTCCGCCGGCCTCCTTAAAGGCGAGGCCCGGGGGAACACCAACTAAAAGAGAACCCTGGGCCGGAGCCCTTTTCAGGAAAAAGTGTGTGCGTATGTGTGTGTGTGTGTGTGTGTGCGCGCTTGTCCAACGCCAAGTCAGCCTCGGTTGCGTGATTATCTTTATCATGCCAACCTCATCCGGCGTGTTTGCACCGCCACCAGGTTGGCTGGTCTGGAAGTCTTATAGTGGTTCTTATCTGTTGCTGTCTCCTTGAGGCTTCAATTAGAACCAAACTGCTGCTTGCGTTTCAAACCACCCGCGTCGAGCTTCTGTTCCTCGGTTTTCTTGGCCGCTGCACTTTGGCATTGCTGCGCCTCTCGTCTTTCACCACCAATCTGCATGACTGTGACTGGGCTCTTTCATCATGGCGCGTTCGACTAAGTTCGTTCGCAAGTGGCACCTCCACCTGCCGACCGCGCCTGAGGTCCACCTGCGCCGCCGACTTACAAGTGTGTGTGTGTGTGTCTGTCTGTGTCTGTGCGTGTGTGTGTGTGTGTGTGTGTGTGTGTGCGTGTGTGTGTGTGTGCATGTGCGGAGGTGGGGAGGGGGGCGAGTCGGAGTATCCTTCGTCTGGCACCGTTACCTCCACGATCTGGTTTTCGCCCACAACAATGGACGCAATGAACCGTGACGCACCCCGTTATTCTTGTTCTATCGCGATTATGGGACATCAACGGCAAACCGTGCAACAACTTCAAACTGAAACTGACGTACCGTCATGGCACGATTCTGACTGACCGACGGAACAACCGCGTGATCAAGTTTCCGCATCTGGAATCAAGGAGGTGGCCGCGCTATTGCGCCCGTCCTCGAGGCTGGTCGACAGCGCCCGCGCCAGCGAGCGAACCTGGCCGCCAGGCTGGCGCGCGCGCGGACGCCGAACGAACTCTTGTCGTTTGGCAGTCACACCACAGTGATAGGTCGGGCATGTCTCCCTAATTACAATGGGATTTTGGATGAAAAAATACAAATACCGAAAATTCAGCAATAGCCAAGCATACTCAAACACTCGTCCCCATACTATTGTTTGACAATTCCTGAATATTCCTCCTGAAGGGGGACAGGCCCGACTTCAGACTAACCTTCTGGGCACCTTGGAGGGCGACACTGGCACGCACGCCGAACGTGGTCGCTCGTCTGGCAAGCATGTTGAGTTTCGGCCGCTGGACAGCACGTCCGAGCACCTCGGATGGCGGTGGCTCC